ACTGAAAGAGCGTTAAACTAGCTATGAAGGGAGAAGAGGACAAAACAGGCCTCTCAAGAGATGAGTCTAGGGGAAAGATGCTCGAGCAGGGGATGAGACAGACGACTAGTCTGAAATGTGTCTATACCAATGCATGCAGCATGAGCAGCAAGCAGGAAGAGTTGGAAATGATTGTGAGTCAGGCTAATTATGACCTTGTTGCTATTTCCAAAACATAGTGGGACCACTCCCATGACTGAAGTGTTGAGATAGATGGCTACAAGCTCTTCAGAAGGGATAGACAAGGAAAGAAGGGTGGTGGTGTGGCCCTTGATATTAAGGACTGTTTCGATGTAGAAGAGCTTGGGGTTGGGAATGATAGAGTGGAGTGTCTATGGGTAAGGATTAGTGGGAAGGCCTGTAGGGGTTGCATCTTGGTGGGGGTCTGTTATAAACCGCCTAATTAGGACAAAGAGTTGGATGAAGCATTCTATGAGCAGCTCGCGGAAGTCACGCGATCGCCAGCACTTGTTCTGATGGGAGACTTCAACTTCCCTGATATATGTTGGAAATATAATGTGGCGCAGAGGAAGCAGTCCAGGATGTTTCTAGACTGTGTGGAAGATTGCTTCCTTACGCAACTGGTAGGAGAGCCTACAAGGGGCAGTGCCCTGCTGGACCTGGTCTTCACTAACAGAGGACTGGTGGGAGAAGTGAAGGTTGGGAACTGTCTTGGGCAGAGTGACCACAGAATTGTAGAATTCTCCATTCCTGGGGATGTCAAAAGAGTAGCCAGCAGAACTACCTTCTTGAACTTCCAGAGGGCAGACTTTGACCTGTTCAGGGAGCTTGTAGCACGGGTCCCTTGGGAGTCGCTTCTCAAGGGTAAAGGGGCCCAGGAAGCCTGAACGCTCCTCAAGACCGAAATCTTAAAGGCACAAGAACAGGCTGTCCCTGAGTGCCATAAGGCGAGCCGTAGGGGAAGACTGGTGTAGATAAGCTGGGATTTACTGTTGAGATTCAAGGAGAAAAAGAGTCTACATCCTCTGGAAGAAGGGACAGGCTGCTTGGGGAGATTACAGAGAAGTAGCTAAGGTATGCAGGGAGGAAGTTAGGAAGGCGAAAGCCCAACTTGAGCTCAGGTTGGCCTCTGCAGTAAAAGACAATAAAAAATCCTTTTATAAATATATCAACGGCAAAAGAAGAACCAAAGATAATTCTCATCCTGTACTTGATGCAGCAGGGAATGTGGTCACTGAAGACAAGGAGAGGGCTGAGGTCCTCAATGCCTTCTTTACATCTGCCTTTAACAGCCAGATCAGTTATCCTCTGGGCTTTTTATGCCCCGATCTGGAAGTCTGGGACACTGCACAGAATATGCCCCCAGCAATTTCAGTGGAGATGGTCAGAGAGCTCTTCCTCCATCTGGACTGTCACACGTCCATGGGACCGGATGGGCTGCACCCTCGGGTGCTGAGGGAGCTGGCAGGGGTGATTGCTGAGCCTCTCTCGGCCATCTATCAGCGCTCCTGGTTAACTGGTGAGGTCCCAGAGGATTGGAGGCTTGCTGATATGACTCCCATCTTCAAGAAGGGCCATAAGGAGGATCCGGGGAGCTATAGGCCTGTCAGCCTGACTTCAGTACCAGAGAAGGTTATGGAGCAAATCATCTTGGGTGAGATTGCACAGCATGTACACAGTGTCCAGGGGATCAGGCCCAGCCAGCACGGGTTCGTGAAAGGCAGGTCGTGCTTGACCAACCTCAACTCCTTCTATGACTGGGTGACCAGTCTGCCAGATGAAGGAAGGGCTGTTGATGTAGTCTTCCTAGACTTCAGCAAAGCCTTTGACACGGTCCCTCACAGGCTTCTTCTGGGGAAACTGGCTGCCTGTGGTCTGAACAGGTCTACTCTTCTTTGGGTAAGGAACTGGCTAGAGGGCCGTGCCCAGCGGGTTGTGGTGAATGGAGTCAAGTCCAGCTGGCGACCCATTACAAGTGGTGTCCCCCAGGGGTCGGTACTGGGGCTCATCTTGTTTAATATCTTTACTGATGACCTAGATGAGGGGATTGAGTGCACCCTCAGTAAGTTTGCAGATGACACCAAGCTGGGAGGTGGTGTTGATCTGCCTGAGGGTAGGGCGGCCCTTCAGAGGGATTTAGACAGGCTGGACTGCTGGGCTGAGGTGAATGGGATGAGGTTCAACAAGGCCAAGTGCCGGGTCCTGCACTTTGGGCACAACAACCCCATGCAGCGTTACAGGCTTGGGGATGAGTGACTGGATGACTGTGAAGAAGAGAAGGACCTGGGGGTGTTGGTTGATGCTCGGCTGACCATGAGCTGACAGTGTGCCCAGGTGGCCAAGAGGGCCAACAGCATCCCGGCCTGCATTAGAAACAGTGTGGCCAGCAGGAGCAGGGAGGTGATCATCCACCTCTACTCAGCAATGGTGAGGCCACACCTCGAATACTGTGTTCAGTTTTGGGCTCCTCACTACAGGAAAGATGTTGAGGTCCTGGAGCGTGTGCAGAGAAGGGCAATGAAACTGGTGAGGGGTCTGGAGCACAGGTCCTATGAGGAGCGGCTGAGGGAGCTGGGATTGTTCAGTCTGGAGAAGAGGAGGCTCAGGGGAGACCTCATTGCACTCTACAACTTCCTCAAGGGAGGTTGTGGTGAAGAGGGATTTGGCCTTTTCTCCCAGGCAACGAGCAGGACACGGGGAAATGGCCACAAGTTGTACCAGAGGAGGTTTAGGTTAGACATGAGGAAGAACTTTTTCTCTCAGAGAGTGGTCAGGCACTGGAATGGCTGCCCAGGGAGGTGGTGGAGTTGCCGTCCCTGGCAGTGTTCAAGAGGTGTCTGGATGACGTGCTGCGTGGTATGGTTTAGTGCTAGTGGTGGCAATGGTGATGAGGAGATGGTTGGACGAGTTGATCTTGTAGATCACTTCCAACCTTGTGATTCTATGATTCTATGATTCTATGAACACCCTCAGATCTTTTCCCTCTACACTGCTTTCCAGACACGCTGACCCAAGCCTGTAGCATTGCATAGGGTTGTTGTGACCAAAGTGTGGAACCCAGCACTTGGTCTTGTTGAACCTCATGCAATTGGGCTCAGCCTATTCAGCCTGTCCACATCCCTCTGGAGAGCCATCCTACCCTCAGGTCAGCACTTTCTCCCAACTTGGAGTCATTTTCAAACTTACTGAGGGTGTACTCATTCCTCTTATCCAGATAAGGATATTAAACAGGATGGGCCACAGTACTGACCCTTGAGCAATACTTCTCACAACCAGTTGCCAGCTGGATGTAACTCCATTCACCACCACTCTTTGGACCCAGCCCTCCAACCAGTTCTTTACCAAACAAAGAATCTACTTGTGAAAGAGTGCAGGGATATTGCTTGTGCAGGCAGAGAGAAAATTAGGCAAAAGCCACAGGCTGCCAGCTTTTCCAGAAGAATGCTGGGAAAGACAGTGTCAAAGGCTTCACTAAAGTCTCGATAGCCTTTCCCTTACCTACTGCGCAGGTCACCACGTCATAGAGGGAGATCAAGTTGGCCAGGACCCGCCTTTCATGAACTTGTGGAGGCTCGGCCTGAGCACCTGTGGGTGTCTCACACATGCTCTGTGATTGCACTCAAGATGAGCTGTTCCATGACGTACCCCTATGAAGATGTCAGGCTGATAGACCCGTAGTTACCCTGAATCCTCCTTCTGACTCTTCTTGTAGATGGGCATCACACTGGCAAGTCTCCAGTCATCTGGAACCTTCTAGGTTGACCAGGACTGCAGATAAATGATAAAAAGTGACTTGGAGAGCACTTCTGCCAGCTCCCTCAGTACCACCGGTTGGATCCCATCTGGCCCCATAGACTTGAGATGGTCTAGGTGGAGTAGTATGTTGCTAACTGATTCCTCCTGAATTATGGGTGGGGGTTATTCTGCTCCTCATGCCTGTCTTCCAGCTCAGCAGTACCCTGAGGATAGCTGGTCTGGCTGTTAAGAAGAAAAGAAGGCACTGAGTACTTCATCCTCCCCATCACATCCAATAAAAGATGGACATTCTCCCTGATCCTCTTTTTCATTATTCATAAAAAAAAGCCATTTTTTTGTTTTGCTTTACAATGGTGACCAGGTTAAGCTCTAGCTGGACTTTTACCTAATTTCCTCTCTGTATATACTAGCAGTTTCCTTGCACTCTTCACAAGTTGCCTGTGCCCCCTCTACCAACGGTGGCATACACTTTTTTTTTTCCTCTCTTTTCTTTCCACCCCTCTAATTCTCACCAGAAACCTTGCATTCAGCCAGCCTGATCTTATTCCCCACTGGCTTGTCTTACAGCATATGGTGGTGGTACTGCAGGCTATGGCATTTTGTGTATTTGGAAAAGAGAAGCCAGTTGCATTGACATTTTTAATTGTACAAAGCCTCTGCACAGAGGACACAAGCAGGTAATCACTTCTGGAGACAGCCCAGTCCAACGCAGGGCTTAAAGTAAGGTCAAGCTACATCTGCTCCTCCATGGATGAAGACACCACAGACTCTCTTGCAATCCATATCAGTGCTTCATCACCCGTACAGAAAATTGTTTTGTTTTCTGTTTACATGGAATTTCTCGTATGCCCATGTGTGCCCTCTACTTCTTGTCTTGACACTGGACACCACTGAGAACCTGGCCTCATCTTACTTTTCTCCTTGCTGCAGGTATTGATGCACATGACTAAGCTGCCCTTCAGCCTTCTCTTCTGCAGGCTACTGTGGATAACAACACTGCAGTGGCCTGCACCACATTGAAATGGCTCTTTATGCAGCAGCTGAGACTTTAAGCCCACAGAGGCCCATTGATTCTGTAACCATTTGCAGCTCTATTCCTAGTATTGCCATTTGGTCTTTGAAGGGTAGAACACACACCATAAACCACCCAGGTGAACTGTTTGAAATAAAATGGTTTACGGTGCTCACACAACATATATAAAGTTACTTGATGCAAGAACAGAAGAGACTCAAGCTTTTATTGCTTTGTCAGATGTAAAAATTTATTTATGCTATTTATCAAATGCTTAAGTTCACACAAAAGATGACAGTTTAACTTCAGGTCCAATTGTCTATCAGTACTCCTTACACTTGAGTAGCCTTGAGGTTTCCAAGAACAGTTTTTACAAAAGATGGCTTAAAACAGCAGAATCTCAAACAATGGCCAACTTCAGAAGCCTGAAGGTCACTATCCAAAAGGCATTTCTCTGCTAAGCACGACCCACAGATCAGAACAGTGGAAGTCTTAAGATCATTGCAATCCCCAGACACTAACCCTACTGCACTCCGAGCAAGTAAATCACATAGTCCTGCATTAGTAATACCAAACATTATAGCTAGTCTTAAAAATTTACCACACATACAAAACACTTTTCGTTTTTTAAGCATTATAGCAACTGTGCATCAAAACAACTGCAAAATACATAATCATCCATTTGGCTTGGTTTTGCAATAAAATAAAATCAGTCATCTGTATGTTAACTTCATCTTGTGTTGTGTTCCTTTCCCCTCCTTTCTTACTTAGGAAAAAAAGGTATTATGATCAGGCAGTTTAATGGTAGCACTGAGGTAGCATATTTTAATTGAATAGAATAATAGGTCTGCTACTGTGCCTCCTCTCCTTTAAAGCACAAAAAAAATAATCCCCTGTTTTTCAACTTCTTTGGAGAAGACAAGTGAACAGTTCATTTTCAACAGCCACTCCATTTTAAATTCAAAGCACACAGCATCTCCGGATGGTACATATATAACAACAGCTAGAATGAATGAGAACACGTACAGTAACAAAGAACGATGTCAGTTTTATTAGAACTATAGTTGTATTTTCAGCTCTGTGGCACCTATTGTTCCCTATTATGAAATGCATCTTTACAGTCTCTGAAATCTAATTTCAAAGACTAGATTCTTGAAAATGGGCAGCTGTATCTCAGTTCTTCTAAACCATTTCCCCACCACCTATAGAAAAGGTAAAGCAATTGCAACAAAACCCAACAGAAATCAAAGACAGCTAATAACAGATATTACCAACAGGGTTACAATAAAAAGAATCAAAAGTTAAGGCAAAATAGATAGCATGACAGAATGAACTGAGCACGCTTTCCTCTCAAAATTCAGAGCTGCGATAGCCTTAATCGCAGACGGAGTAGAAGCTCAGCTTCATAACAACCTGAGAATGACCATTTTCTCAGTTCTGCCTTTCTGCTTAAGAGCTTTAAAAGAAAAAGTCCAGCTGTGCCCAGTCTTAACAGACAAGTTAACTGATGAAGTAACTCTTACTAGTAACTCCTGTAGGAGTGAGTAGTAAACAGCGATCCTGAAGAATGACAGTCATTTTCTGCTCTTGTCACACCGCTACACATGGCCTCGTAAAAACTCTGTTGCACAGTACACAATCCCCACCCAGCCCAGGCTAGGTCTCCAAATCCCCCCTCTCCACCTTTCGTACAGCAAATCAAAAATTTTACTGCAGTTAAAACTCCTTGAGCACAACTGCAAGCATAATAGGATTTTTTTTTATTATTATTATTTTTTTTTTTTAACACCCGGGAAAGTAATTTGAGAATGTAACTGAACTTCCTACTAAATAAACTCTCAGGAAAACCTGGATACAGCAGAGGGAAAATGCAAGTAAACTAAGTTACAATGACCAATTCAAGCTGTTTAGAGAGACCTAACTGTTAATCTTTCAAGTAATCCAAATAGCACTCCAACACCAGCTATCAAAAATTTAAGGCTTTTATGAACACTCTCTTAAATACAAAAGGAGTATTAAACAGAAAAAATTGTTTACAGTAAATACAAACATCTGAAAAATCTCTGAAACCTGTTTATACAAATACTAATAAATTCTTCCATATTTTGTACAACTAGAAGGTGCACAGACTGGCATTCAAGCGGTCAATGATGGCAAACGTCTGTCAGATAATAACATGATTTCCTTGAATAACAACACAGTTTAAAATGCCATAAATTAAAAATAAGTTAGTTCACATTTTCTTCCCCCAGTTTTTATGTACAGCTTAGTCTTTAATGAGATCTTGTAGCCTTCTTCAGAAGCTCGAGGTCTTTCCGTCGACTCTTGATAGCTCTGGTACAGCCATATTCTTCCAGTTGCAAAGGGATATACTTTTCTATCTGAATTTGCCCATGACCAGCAGGACTGGTAAACAGCTTAATCCACGATGGCTTAAAGTTTCCTCTGAAGCCCAGGAAGGCCACACTTCCTGCAACAAAAATAGTGCAGTGTTACAGGAGCCTGATTATAACACATGGTTCAGCAAGAGAGAAACACTCTTACAAAATCCTCCTTCTGCCATTTACTCAGTATAGTAATCCAGCCTTAGCGGCACCTGTACCAAATTGGGATACATTAATTCAAAAATTTTCTGTTACTATTTAGTACTAAATTCTCTAAAATCTTCAATTTGAAAACAGAACCATCACAACAGTTATAAAAACTGTTCCCTCACACAGAACTTATGCCACAGCCCTGAAGGGATGAGAACTGCCCCATGGGGTGCATAGAAACTGATCATCCCTCAAAATACCACATCACATCACTGCAACAGGAAATACTGGAGTGGCAGTGGGGATTGTTTAGAAGTAGAGTGCACGTCCCTCAGATTTGCTGCATGAGACACAACATAAAGGCTTCGGGAAAAAAAGCCCAGGCTTTCTGTATAATCAAGTTACAGAGAACTGGTAGTCACCTTCTTGCTTGCAATATGCTTCATACATGTTTCCTCTGGGTGACACGAAGCAATGTCTGGACCCAGAAGAAATCTGTGAGGCAGACAAATGTGCAAACTAGGGGGGAACCTAAGTGGTATAAAAGAAATGTGCAAAATTTCACTAACCATTGCTCTGAAGGTAAGGTGGTTTGGCTGTCCCCAAGGACTTAAAGGCTTCTGCTAAGTTATTAGGAATTTCTACCTCGCCTCTTGTGCTCAGTAGAACCACAGACCTGCAATAGAAGCAGTGCAGAGACAACAGTAGTTACAATTGAAGTTTTCCTTGTATCCTACATACTTTTACAGCTGGATGTCTTCGTAGCCCACTTTTGCCCTCTTTCTGAAGAGTTTTTGTGTTAAAGCTGCACGTGGAAATAAGACAACATTCTCTGGAAAGTAGTACCTAGAAGAGCATACACTTGGAAAATATTAAAAAAAACACCTTCTAAGTTTAACCCAAATCCTCTTAAATAAAAATTTCCAGTGACTTTTGTATATTAAAAAATAATAATTAAACTCTTGATCCAAAATTAAAATACCAGAAACTGTATTTTCCAGACACTAACTTTCCATCTCCATTTTTTTTTTTTTTTTTTTTAAATGACAATATTTTTCACTCTGGATCTGGAGAAAAGTCACTCCTAACCCAAGTAGAACATCACACAGTTTGTCGGTTTGTAAGAGTCCATAAATACTGAAGCAAAAGTTTTTCCTCTTTCAAGGAAAGAGGTGCTACTACATGAGGTTCAGTTTCTTTTTGAAGTGAAAGGCATGCAACACTGGAGGATTTTAGTGAGTGGCTTTGCTTGCTCTAGCAAAGCAAAGTTATCTATTATATTTCTCCTTTTTCCTCAACTTCAATACACATTTTGCTCATTTTCAGTGTTGCTACATAAACATTATTAGTTAAAATCTTGTTAGAGAGCAGAAATACAGCTTGCAGAACACACTGGATATAAATGGTCATTACACGTACCTTTGTGGTATTTCAGACTTTAAATAGCCACCTACACGCTTAATGTCTGCTCCGGAAAATAAATTATTTCCTGACACTGTGCCAGTGCAGGCATCAACTACAACAAGGAGTATACCATTATCCTTGAAGGAAAACATTGTGTTATTGACCTGTATGGGAGAAAAAAGAATTCATAAATCTACAATGACTTCAACTGTTGTCATACTGTGCTCGGTGTTAACCTTCATGTGTACAATGGTGTACAGCTTAGAAATGCTCACTTTTCACTGTCATCTCTCATTCTTTTTTTTTTTTTTTTTTTTTTTTTTTTTTCCCCTTTGAGAAGAAACTTTCAGTGAGACTTCTGAATGAGAACCTTCAATCACTAGCTTCAGTGTGGAGACCAGTCAACATTTGGGGAGATAAACTACCTGCTTTGGGAAGCTAACATTCAGATAATAACCCATCTGCACTTCTTGTCAATAGCACAGTTAACCATTCACTGTGGATGCACAATTTTGTCCCAGTGTCACCTTATGCTCCTACTGCTCTAGATACAGCAAGACTCCTGTAGAAGTCTGCACTCAAGTACCACTTTTCTGCCTAAGGAACTCAGAGTTACACTATTTCAACCAACTGGCTTTGCAGAGCACAAGTCATTTAAAGCTTTGTGGTGTGAGCTTATCTGAAAAAGCTATCCTCAGCATCACATGCAGGTCTACTTCAGCATCTGAACAGAAGCAAAGCAAACATTTTATACAATACCACATAGAATCAGAGAATCATTTGAGTTGGAAGAGACCTCTAAAGGTCTAGTTCAAATATAGTTCAACTCCCCTGCAATGAACAGGGACATCTGATTGTTGGACTAGATGAACTGATAGGTCATTTCCAACCTTAATGATTCTACTGATTTTACTGATCTAATGATACTATTATCTACAGCTAGATTAGGTTGCTCAGAGCACTGTTCAGCCTGACACTGAATGCATCCAGGCACAGGGCATCCATCACGTCTTAGCAACCTGTTCCAGCACTTCCTTCACACTCACTAGGACTGCATCAGAACAAATACTGAAAATTATGGGCTCTTTAGTAACTGACATTTTTTAGGTTAGCAAAACCTAATGTCTTGAACGATTCAATACAGCCATACAGGTTTCATCAGGAATTCAAAGATTTTAAGTTCTTCCTTGCTGGTACAATTTCCACTCTAGTGGCAGAGGATTTGCAATTAGAATACAAAAGGAGGAGTTGGGAGCCTCTTTTTCTAAAATTAGAAGATCAGGCTTCTGACATACTGTTTTCTAAACCATGAACAAACACTTCTTATGCTGATGAAGAAGTGTGAGCTTAGCACTTCGTAGGGCAGTACAACTGTTCCAATACCAAGATCTACAGAGCAAGAAAAATAAAACTACAAAGAATACTCACGGAGATAAATGCTTGCTGAGCTCTGCTTAACTCATTTTTACCAGATAAATTAATCTGCACAAGGAGGTAGTTTTTGTGAGGATCGCTGGTGAATACCATCTGGATGTCAAACAGAACAGTTTAAGTATACATATGTGCAGGTCATTGACACTTCATCATGTCATGTTTTGTAACAGGTAACTCATACTCCAAAGTAATATGACATATGAACAGTATAATACATCTTATTCCCATATTTTTACTCATCATGTATAGTGAAAACACATAATGCAATTTCAAGTTTATGCTAATATGAAAAATCCAAAAAAGAAGAGGTTGGCCAATAGTATGCCTTGAACTGCAGATCTCTGCATGGTACACAGTTGACAGAGTTGCTCTACTCATGTCATGTCTTCTCTGTCACATGTAGAGCAGGAGGCAAAGCACAAATATGGAGCAATGTTTCTCCCTCATGCTGCAACAGCCCTCCTGCCTTCTTGAGCACAGGAAATAAATAACCTGGAATACTGCAAACTTGTAGGTGTTGTATTTTGTGCTGAAAAACTGAAACTATGCCTTTAACACAAGTAGTATGAAACACCAACTACACAGATGATACAAGTTTTTGCTTATTTTCTTTTACCTGAGTTGTGCCACACTTTGTGCACGGTACAGTAGTTCTTACTGGCATCTGCTTTATGACAGCTGGTCCTTGGTAGTACTTTGGGTAAGCTTTTGCCATGCAGTTACTGACCCCTTTTGCTGAATCTTTGGTCACAATCTTGATCCTTTCACATCCCTGAGATGAGCAATAACTGTGACCATCCCTACTGTATTTGGCTTGAAGAAATAAAAACAGTAGTCTGTGCACACAAAAAGAAAAAAGAGAAGGAAGGTGAGAGAAGGAGAAAATAAATTGACTACAAAGAAGTATTTACGTTAAACCTTAGCAGGTACATTTCATGATTTTGAGAAGTAGAAAACTACAGTATTTACTTCTGTACCATTGTTCAAACTTTTTCGAAATATTTACGCTTTACTAGAATTACAAAGTCTCTACTGACATATCTGAAATCTCTAACAATTAAGTGAGATGTTGCTATGAATGCATATGTTTTGGTAAGAACAGCCACTCCTCAAAATAGAGGCAGGAAGGTAGGAAACAATAAAATAAGCTGCAGAGCTTATGTATGTTTTCCATAACTGTAGATCTTGATGGATACTAACAACAACTGTTCAGATATTCAGCTGTATTTACCAGCACTGGACAATGTAGTTACACTGCTGCATCTTAAATAAATGCCTGGAAATGCCATTTAGAGTGTTACCAATGCAAAAGGGCCAATGATTTTTCTATTATATATTTAACTGTTATCACCGGTAACTGCTGTTACTGTTGTAGCTCTTAGAGAAAGGAAACATAAACAATCTTTAGAGCACTGTCATCTGCCCATTTGCCAGATAAAGAAACAGAGTCCTGTGTTAATCATTTATTTCCACATTAAGTAACAAAATTCTAACACACACAAGTGATGTATGTAGGACTTAATTTCAGTAAATGCTGAACACACCTTAAACCTCTCAGAAGGATCTCAATGGCTTCTGTAAAGAAAACTTTTGAAATGGAAACTAGGACTTCTAAATACTATTCACAAGGCTAAAAGTGGGTTTTTAGGAATATATAGTTTCCAAAACAGTCTTGCCACAGAGAAGTTCTCAGAAGTTTAACAAGAATGCACAAATTTTCTTTGAAGGGGGGAATTTACTTCCTGCAAGACACCTGTCTGCAGTGGTGTGGATACTACATTTTCCCTAGACATGGGACACAAAATATCTGTGTAACTGCAGTCTTCTTGAGAATGTGTGCTCATAATAACCACTGTATTTTGGAGATTCAAAGTCACATACAATATTCTTTCAAAGAAGTTTTGGACTCCTTTGTAACAGCCTCCCTCCAGCACAAGTGTCTCAATCAGTTCCTTTCATTGCTATCATGCTATCTATTATCATTAAAATCTTTCATCACAGGCAAGTTATAAGGCGTTACCCAGTACTGTTGTCAAAATAAAACTTCTTGTCTGATCGATTCTTTTCAAGCTCCAGCATTGAAGATACAGGTGTGTAGCGTTCTACCTTACTCGACAGAGCAGATGACTTCCTCTGAAAGGTTTCCAGAACTATAGTAAAATCAGTATTTGGTTGATAACAAAGACCAACGCGAATCCAGTCATTCCTGAAAAGAAAACAAGTGTACGATTCACCATAGGAACAGTTCAGATGACAATGAGCAGCACACAAGTCACTGCAAAAACATAATTAACAGGAACAAAAAGCTTTTAACCCTGCAAGCCTTCTTCCCCACTTTCTTTCACTAATTGTTGCAGTATCCAGTACATCCTTAGAAAACATTTGATTTTATGCTTCAGACATTTATCTAGCTTATCCAACAGTAACATCAAGTACCCCAAAGTATGCAGTTTCAATTTTGCCAAACTTCACTTTTTGGTATATTTTCTTCTCCAAATGATTTTTGTTAAAGACACTGCACTAAATATAAAATCGACTTTAGGTGCATGTTTATTGGTTCATCTCCCGCTTTTAATACCTTAATATTTGTAATTAAGAAAAAAAAAAAAAGCAAAAATCCATTCTCACTGACAGTTACAAACTCTCAGCACACTAATTCTGCAGCACATTACTTCATTGTTACCTTATGGCTCAATGATATGAAAGAAAGAAAACGTACTTATCAAAGTTAATGAGGTAAAGATACGTGACATTTGGTGCTTTTCCATTCCAATGTATTGTGTAGCCCTTCTGTAGCATTACTACTGGCTGGTACTGCTGAAAGACAGCTTTCTGATTAATCCCTCTAAGAACCATGGGATTGGATGGGTACTCATCTCGTACAATAGCCATGGAAAGATTCTGTCCATTCCATGTTTGAACATAGACCTATACATTATAGAGGAAGAGGAAAGATTTGCAATCTTTAATCAGTACAACATTAAGTGAAACAGTGAAAGACAGACTGTATATGACTGCAGAAGAACTGCTGCAATTTGAGGTTTGCAAATATTTCACAGAACCATAGAATAGTAGGTGTTGGAAGGGAAGAGATCATCTAGTCCAATCCTCTCTGTTTGCCCTTTTTCTTTCAAAAAAGATCCCTATTTGAAAAACTATTGTAGATTTTGCCTGTCTTACAAAAAAATAAAATAAAAAATAAAAACATCGGGGAGAGGGGGAAAAGTGCAGTTCCAAAACAGTACCTGACCAATCTCATACAGAACAGGAATCAGACCTGTATGATATTTATATTCAGAAGGTGCGCTCCAGTAAGAAAAAGGTAAGAAAAACAACAACTAGTAAACCTTAAAACCCAGCCTGTGAACAAAACACAAAACGCCAGCAGAAGAAAATGGCTCTGATACAAAACAGATAGGACTTTAACATGGAATTCCTGGCATATATACTCCCAACGCATTTGCTATTATCTGGAAGCAAGTACTGCAATCTAGTTTGCATCCTGAATGGAATGCTGTACGCAAAAATGGCTGAAAACTGTAATTTACATATAAAAGTATTTTTAAAATTCCTTTCTTCCACACACTTTGTTCACATTGTAGATGTTTCTCCAGTAGAAGTCAGAGTACTAGCCTGTGCATAGGTCCCACTGCAGATCACTCCATTCCATTCAGTATTATTAATGCATTTGGGGTGTTGAATCAAGTAGTTATCCATTCTGCCCACATACGTATCTTTATAATCAGTCACTGAACCATCTAGGTCATGGAATATTGAGTTCTTGTCACCATCCAGATCTACTTCTTCAAACCAGGGACCAGGTTTTCCAAAGAAGGCTTTCAGAGAAACCTGTCAACAACAATCAAAATGCATACATAGTTCTTTTACTCCAGGTGACATAGAGACTAATACTCTCAATTCTGCAAAAATACAGGAATTTGAGAAGAGTTGATTAAAAAAAACTTGTGGCAAGAGCAATGCAATCATCTTGTTTTTCAGTAACAGGCTCAGGTCAGCTCTTGATTTTGTGTAAATATGTTGTAACTGCAACTGAAAATTCATTGTCAAAGATACACCAGACCTTACAAAATCTCTTTTCAGTTTTACCATCAGTCAAAAAAGAGATCATTAATGAAACTTATTCTACGTATTATTTTTCTTGCCTGGGAAACAAAGTGTATCTCGAATGATCTCCACCCAAGACAAACTGTGGAGTATGTTTGCATGCAAAAAAAAAAAAAAAAAAAAAATTTCCATAGGGGCCCTTGGAAAATTATTTAAAATAGAGCAAGAAGAAAACTAATCTACCCGCAACAGCAAAATAACTTCTAATGAACTTACATTTGGACCAAACTTTACAAGAGAAATGTTGTTTCTTGGTGTCATCTGCCAAGGATTTTTCATCAAGAAACCAACTGCACTGGTAAATCTGTCTGGAGTTGGCACAAAGTTCCTGAACGTGCACTTAGTGAGGTGAATAGGCCCATCATAAATTTGAAAACCTCTAATTGGAAATGTCCTGTTAATAAAAGCAAATATTCACAGCACCCTGTAACAAAAATCATGACAAGCCTAAGCCTGAATATACATTTCTGAGAAACCAGCTCCTTTACTCATGATGTACTTACCGATTTCTAGGTAGAGTGCGCACCTTATTGTCTATTCCTCCAGATCCTGTATATTTATTTTGACCACCATGAAACCCGTAATTCTTGCTCTCCCCTATGAACAGAGATTCGGACACCACTTGGCTGGCACCTTCATCATTTGGAAAGCTCCCATCACTATCAAAGCAATGTCAGGGATAAAAGCTTTTAGCCAAGACTATCCAGCAGACTAAAACACAAGGCACGGTTCTACTCCTACTCTGTAATAGTCTTCATAAAGCAAAGCAGTTCATATTCTTATTTGTAATATAAAGAACAATAAATTTAATCACTAACAGTCTTTTTGAAAGGACGAAAATCCTTGTGCAGAACTGTACATTTTCTATTCTCCTATGATAATCAGCACTCTTATTTACAGCCCACTTCCACAATTCTAGAACACATTTTTCACAACCTAAGCAGTAGCAGTTTAGGCTTTCTACCCAAGTTATTAGATTTCCTTCCATTGAAAAGAGGCTCTGCCCACTCTAACCATTCACTCATTTCCCTTTACTTGCATTGAACAGCTCAGGAAGAAAATCAAAGCTGCTCAAGGCATCGTGCCATACAGAAAATACTCGTGTAAACATAACCCTTCTGGAGAACAGGTAGCAAATTGTTATGTAAAGAAAGCATAGGTTGAACAAAGAGCAAACTTTAGCAGACGTGTCAATTTGCAGCCTGAATAATATGTTTTACACCACTGGAAATGGACCTAATAGTGAAAATAAAGCCTTAAGAAAGTATACCTATTAATTTTTTCTGACAGATTTATGTATGATGTTTTTCTAAACTTTTAAGAAAACACAGCAGTAATTAAATACTCACCTGGCAAATGTCAAACCAATTCCATTGTCTGCAAACCTAAAAGAAAGTCCATAAAATCAAGCTTCAGTCACATCTTCTGGACTATCCTATAATTAAATATTCTAAGACTACATAGTGATATGCACTGAAGAAAACCTTTGCATTAATAGAATCAAGAAACTATTAAGTAGTTCTTATAAAAATTACATTTTTAAAAGAAGAAAACAACAGAAAGAAAATACAGCTTTTCATATCTTTTAAGCAGGAACCTGGAAGCTTAAAAGAAAACATAGACATCTCAATAGAAACTAGTAGTCCCAATCAAGTTTTACACTTTTTTATTTTGTAGGTTTTTTTCCTTCATTTAAAGAAGTTTCTCATCTAGCCATATATAAACTTAAAGCAATGGGTTTGTGTAAAAGTATTGGAAACACAGCAGTTCCCAGGTTTAAGCATCAATCTTCTTTATAACCTTGTTGCAGCATGTTTTCATAAAAACAGCTTTAGGGGAAGCTTCTTAGCAACATGCAGTTGTTTGCTTCTGGATACCTACCCAGAGTTCTGAATGAGGATATCTCCTCCCCTGACCCAAGCACCATGATCATTGTTTTTGAAAGAGATTAATCCATCAATCAGGGCAGCAACTCGGGGTTTTTCAGGGTCTGCATCTTGATGAGGACGAAACCTGTAGCAGATTAAAAAAAAAACAAAAAAAACCCCACATATGTTTGATATAAAAATACAGTTTGTTTTATATGGCTCAAATATGTTGGGCTGAGAGAATCTAGAAGATAAATACGCACTCTCACCTGGCAGGTAAGAATCATCTCTGCTTCATGTTGGGACTGAGACAAGCCTGAACCATATGCATCTGTAGATACCTACTTCCAGAAAAGCATCTTTCCTGTGCCACAAAGAAGGAACCTAAAATTTCTCTTTCCCAGTAACTGTCGAACTTTTCTGAATCTTGCCAAGTTAACTGATGTGCATTTCCTTTCTTCTCTTGCTTTTTCTCACTGCCCTCTCCGAAGCATCGTCTCCCCACTCCTATTGCAGCATTAATGTCCCAGTTTAATGCAGGGAATTAGTTACTTTGAGGGATACACAGGTGTGCCATTGCACTAGACAAAAAAGGCTAGAGGTTTGTATAAATGTTTGCTATTCAGAGGGCAGGGCACGTCACCATTTGTCTGGCTGCTGTCAAAGATGAACCCCGTCTTATACACTGAAATTTTTACATCCGATCTTCATACCTTGCCAACACGCTATAGGTTCTCTCATGCCATTCTACCTCTCTTAAATTCTTCTTGACTACCCGATGGCAATGCGTAAGACCTGTGGGACTTCTGCCAAAATGTCACAACTTCTGTTAAAAAGTCACAGTCATAACTAACAACTTACTAGCTTCCAACGCAAGAAGTATTAAATATTACCAAATTCTGAAACTTTCCTCTTTGTATCTGCAGCTATCACTTAACTATCCCCATCCTAAGAAGGCTGAATCAAAAATAATCTTATAACTGTATCTTCAGTCTTAGTTCTTGGTTGCCACAACAAAATGTTGATTTTTCTTGTCAATTTACACAGGATAACTTGAAATTTTCCCAGACTCTCCAACATTTTCTCTCACTTTGTAAGCTGAAGATAATGTGGCTGGCTGTACTATCCCAACAAATAATCTTCAGTAAAAGCATACCACTGAAGTGTGACCTCCAAGTCCAGAAGGCACACTAGGAAGCATTCAGAAGTAGGAAAGGCAAGGGAATCTATTACTTACTGCTGTTAGGCTTTTTCCTAACAATTATTTAAACAGCCATAAATCAGATGCAGATTTTAATATAGGGCTTGACTTTGGTAGCAATTCCAGAAAATACTATAAACTTAATAGCAGAGCATGATTAAAATTATGTTTTCTAGCAGGCTGAAAACTACCCAGGGCCAAGGGCTTAAAAAAAAAAAAAAAAAAAAAAAAAAAAAAAAAAAAAAAAAAGCCAATTCCTTCAGGCAAACTGTTCTTTCTTCCTGCCAAAGAGATGCATAGATGAGAAAAAAGAAAGGGAACGTATTGCTCATTTATTATTTGTAGTATTTTAAACTTTTTTTCCCCTCATGTGAAGGTACAAACAATCTCAGAACGTTACCATTTTTCATTGAGATGGAAGATAATATTCTTTACCTTGCGTTGTTGTCCAAGCAAAGATATTCTCTGGGATCATCAGCACTAGCATTAGTTGTTTTAACACCCTTATCAATGAACAAACCAGCCTTTAAAGAAAAGAAAAGAAAGAAAAGGGAGGGTGGAAAAGAATAAATTTCATACTGCCCAACACTGAAAAGACAACAATTACTATACTTTTAAGATTACATTTCATGCAATACACTCTATTAAAGACTCTTAGATCTTTCAGGTTGGCCTAATAGAGAAACAGGATCTTTCCATGCAAATTTGGAAAAAGAACTGGAAATCCCAGGAAAATCACTGCCTGGAGTTAAAGGAAAAAAAAAAAAAAAAAAAAAAAAAAAAAAAAAAAAAAAAA